TATCTCAGCATAGATTTCCATAATAAACCTTTATCAGTAGACCTGTGTTTATAATTAGGAGAGCGCCCTAGCATGTAGTGTACAAAACACCTACTTTATGCCCTCGCGTCCTTCCCCTTGCCTCCCCTGTCCTTCGCTCAGCCTCCCTCTTCTTCTACCGTCCCCAGCTATCTTCCATGTCGGATTTCCTCAATCTCCCACTCTTCTCTTCCGCAGCAAGCTATATTACGTACTTTTATTTAGGCAGTGCTGCACGTCTGAAACGGTGATCGCGCATGCGCAATATCTCCCGAGAAGAATATTATTTGGCCGAAATTATGAATTTAAAATAAATAGGGAATATCCCAGCATAGATTTCTATCATAATATCCTATAAGTAGACCGCATTTATGAATAAGGAAGCAGACCTTGCATGTAAGGTGTTTGCTGCATAAACCATTCCGTACATAATCCTGGCTACATTACTGTTTTAGCGCATGCGCAATATCTCACCAGAGAAGTTTTATTTTGTGATATGTAAATGCATTTAGTTTGGTCAGGAGGTATCTCAGCATCGATTTCTGTATTAGATTCTTATCGGTAGACCTGAATATTGGGGTGGGACCGGAGTGAAATGTTGCAAAATGCATTGCTATTTTCCAAAGTGTATTCTCCTTTATATTGACTCTTGTTTCGAGTTGTACTGCATATTCAGCTGTACTGCACGTCCCTCAATTGTATAATCATTTCAAATGGGACATCATTTAAATTGTGAAGTTAAATGAACAGGCTTTCCAATGATAGCAAATGCACTGATAATAATGCAGGTACATGAGAGATATCATCCTATTTTTTTAGGAGTGTACATGAAAAGTCTCCAAAATCAAAAAAACCCCTTCTGCAGTTTTGGTTGAGATTCAGGGTCAAGGCGGTATTCGTGTCTTTCATTTTAGATACAGTGTAAACAAAAGCCTATTACTTTAGATACAGTGTTTATATTAAAGGTAGTAGCCCTCATTTGCACACCCTCCCAATTTCCATAAAATTCCATTTGTAGATTCCAATTAATTGGCATCAGGATATTTTCTTTGAGTTCTTAAGGCATCTTCCATTCGCCTTACGAGAAAAACGTTTAATTTCTAATTTAAATGTCGCATTATAACCATAAATCCAATGCTGTGATATGTTCACATTGATGAGTCCTCATTTTAAGTTACAATGAGTCTAAATTTGTTCGAGACCTCCCAAGATGCTTTGCAAATGAAGGCTACTACCTTTAATTGAAAAGGGGATTCCAGTCCTTTTTTTATATCTGACCTCAGTATCCATAAAAATAAACATGTTTCACTAAGTGAATGGTTGTAATTCCAGCATGTGAAAAACTTTAAGTTAAATTTTGTTTTGAGATAAATTTAAGCGAAACACAAATATATCATAGTTGAAGCTACCATACTTTAACACGTTAAATTCTGAATATATTGTTTGCCCCCCTCCCATCCTCAAAATGGATCGAAGCCCCTGGTGGAATACAATCAACGATATACATGAAGAAGTCAAAAAAAACATTATTTGAAATGGAAAGCCTTGAATGGCATGTAAACGATACAAACAATAGTCGATACTTGCAATTAAAATGCGCGAAAATTAACCTTTTAGAGATCAAAAATACAAAAAGTACCTATCGTTGGACGGTATATACCCCTTCCCAGCTCTCCCTCGGCCGCTTCGCTTCCTCGCAGGCTCTTGAACCACGACTGGTCCCCCCTTTTTTTAAATGGATTTGCGTCCTTGGGGCTATAGAGTTGTACGTGGTTCTGGTTAGGCTTATATATGGTTATAATAATCGTTCTGCTCAAATTTAGTGTCTATGAATGCGGGTATCTCTAGGATGAATGCGAAAAACGAACTGGCTCGTTAGAGCTTGCTCTCTCTCTCTCTCTCTCTCTCTCTCTCTCTCTCTCTCTCTCACCCCCCCCCGCGGGGTTTCATCTCCTTGGTATATGTTGCTCCTTGGTTCCCTGGACAATTTTTTTTTGTCAAAATAGTGCCACGGCAGTCCGTGCTGCACTACGGCCCTGCACACCCTCCCAATTTTTATACAATTTCATTTGTAGATGCCAATTAATTGGCATCAGGATATTTTCTTTGAGTTATTAAGGCATCTTTCATTCGCCTTACGAGAAAAACGTTTAATTTCTAATTTAAATGTCGCATTATAACCATAAATCCAATGCTGTGATATGTTCACATTGATGAGTCCTCATTTTAAGTTACAATGAGTCTAAATTTGATCGAGACCTCCCAAGATGCTTTGCAAATGAGGGCTACTACTTTTAATTGAAAAGGGGGTTCCAGTCCTTTTTTATATCTAACTTCAGTATCCATAAAAATTTAATGTTTCAAGTGAAAGGTTGTAATTCCAGTATATCTGAAAAGCTTTAAGTTAAATTTTGTTTTGAGATAAATTTAAGCGAAACACAAATATATCATAGTTGAAGCTACCATACTTTAACACGTTAAATTCTGAATATATTGTTTGCCCCTCCCATCCTCAAAATAGATCGAAGCCCCTGGTGGAATACAATCAACGATATACATGAAGAAGTAAAAAAAAACATTATTTGAAATGCAAAGCCTTGAATGGCATGTAAACGATACAAACAATAGTCGATACTTGCAAGTAAAATACGCGAAAATGAACATTATTGAGATCAAAAATATAAAAGTTCCTATCGTTGGACGGGGGATACCCGCCTCCCAGCTCCCACTCGGCCGCTTCGCTCCCTCGCAGGCTCTTGAACCACGACTGGTCCCCCCTTTTTTAATGGATTTGCGTTCCTGGGGCTATAGAGTTGTACTGGGTTCTAGTTAGGCTTATATATGGTTATAATAATCGTACTGCTCAAATATAGTGTCTATGAATGCGGGTATCTCTAGGATGAATGCGAAAAACGAACTGGCTCGTTAGATCTTGCTCTCTCTCTCTTTCTCTCGCTCTCGTTCTCTCGTTGGCATTCTCTCTCGCTAGTTCTCTCTCTCTCTCACCTTCCGATTTCCTCCTCTTTCTCACTTTCCTTCTCTGTCGCTCTCGGAGCGCTATTTTTATGTACATTAACATAGCGGGGAACCCAGGGCGTGATGCTGCAAGAAAAGTAAAAATAATAGAACAGATTTTACCTAGCATACGTACTTCCGGCCCGCCCGGCTCTACTTTAAACGTATAAGAACGGCCGAAGAATATTATCTTGGCAGTCAACGGCGACCGACGTCGCAGCGCCATTTGCCCATGCATTAGCATGCTGCCTTTCCTCAATCTCCCATCCCCTCTCCCACGCAGCAAGCTATATTATAAAGTTTTCCTCAGACGACACTGCACGCCTATCACGGTGCGCGCGCTCAGCCTCCTTCTTCTTCTTCCGCCCCTGCTATCTTCCCTGCCGCCTTTTCTCAGTTTCCCATCCCCTCTCCCCCTCAGCAAGCTATATTATGAAGTTTTCCTCAGACGGCACTGCACGCCTAACACGGGGCGCGCGCATGCGCAATATCTTCCAAGAGAAATCGT